GTCCTCTTCCATTTCTCTTAAGAGGGTCCTGTGGTTTTCAGGGTGTAGGTCTTTCACTTCAAGAGTGGGGAGAGTGGGCATCCCTGTCTTGTTCGCCATTTTAGAGGAAAAGTCTTCAACTTCTTGCTGTTAAGTATGATGTTGGCTTTGGGTTTGCCCTATTTGGCCTTTATTATGTTGAGATACTTGCCCTCCATACCCATTTTCTTGAGAGTATTTTTCATGAATGGATGTTGAATTTGGTCAAATGCTCTCACCATCTATGGAGAAGATCATGTGGTTTTTGTCCTTTTTGTTGATGTGGTGGGTGATGTTGATGGCTTTTCGAATGTTGTACCATCCTTGCATCCCTGAGATGAATCTCACTTGATCATGGTGTATTATCCTCTTGATGTACTTTTGAATTCAGTTTGCTAATATTTTGTTGAGTATTTTTGCATCTATGTTCATCAGGGATATTGCTCTGTAATTTTCTTTTTTGGTGGGGTCTTTGCCTGGTTTTGATATTAGAATGATGCTGGCTTCAGAGAATGAGTTTGGGAGTATTCCCTCCTCTTATATTTTTTGGAAAACTTTAAGGAGAATGGGCATTATGTCTTCTCTACATGTCTGATAAAATTCAGCGGTGAATCCATCTGGCCTGGGAGTTTTGTTCTTGGGTAGTTTTTGATTTCCAATTCAATTTTGTTGCTGGTAATTTGTCTGTTTAAATTTTTTTTCTTCCTTGGTCAGTCTTGGATGATTGCATTTCTCCTAGGTTTTCCAGCTTGTTAACATATAGATTTTCATAGTACTCTCTAAGAATTCTTTGCATTTCTTTGGGGTCCATTGTGATTTTTCCTTTCTCTTTTCTGATTCTGTTGGTGTGTGTAGATTATCTTTTTCTCTTAATAAGTCTGGCTAGGAGCTTATCTATTTTGTTTATTTTCTCAAATAGCCATCTCTTGGTTTCATTGATTTTTTTCTATGGTTTTATTCTCAATTTTATTTATTTCTTCTCTGATCTTTATTATGTCCTTCCTTCTACTGACTTTGGCCTTATTTGTTCTTCTTTTCCAAGTTTCAATAATTGTGACTTTAGACTATTTATCTGGGATTATTCTTCCTTCTTTAAATAGGCCTGGATTGCTATATACTTACCTCTTGGAACTGCCTTTGCTGCATCCCACAGCATTTGGGGCTTTGTGTTGTTGTTGTCATTTGTCTCCATATATTGCTTGATGTCTATTTTAATTTAGTCATTGAATCATTGATTATTTAGGAGCATGTTGTTAAGTCTCCATGTGTTTGTGAGCCTTTTTGTTTTCTTTGTACCATTTATTTCTAGTTTTATACCTTTGTGGTCTGAGAAGTTGGTTGGTAGACTTTCAATCTTTCTGAATTTACTGAGGCTCTTTTTGTATCCTAGTATGTGGTCTATTCTGGAAAATGTTCCATGTGCACTTGAGAAGAATGTGTATCCTGTTGCTTTTGGGTGTAGAGTTCTGTAGATATATGTTAGGTCCATCTGTTCTAGTGTGTTGTTCAGTGCCTCTGTGTCCTTACTTATTTCTGACTGGTGGATCTGTCCTTTGGAGTGAGTAGAGTATTGAAGTCTCCTAGAGTGAATGCATTGCTATTTCCTCCTTTAATTCTGTTAGTATTTGTTTCACATATGTTGGTGCTCCTGTATTGGGTGCATATATCTTTATAATGGTTATATCCTCTTGTTGGACTGACCCCTTTATCATTATGTAATGTCCTTTATCTCTTGTTACTTTCTTTGTTTTGAAGTCTATTTTATCTGATATATGTACTGCAACACCTGCTTTTTTCTCCCTGTTGTTTGCATGAAGTATCTTTTTCCATCCCTTGACTTTTAGTCTGAGTATGTCTTTGGGTTTGAGGTAAGTCTCTGTAAGCAGCATGTAGATAGATCTTGCTTTTTTGTCCTTTCTATTACTCTGTGTCCTTTGATTGGTGCATTCAGTCAATTTACATTTAGGGTGATTTTCTGAAGATATGTACTTATTGTCATTGCAGGCTTTATATTTGTGGTTGCCAAAGTTTCAAAGGTAGGTTGTTTACTATCTGTCTAACTTAACTTGCTAATTGAGCTATTATAAACAGTCTTATGATTCTTTATTTCCCTTCTTATTCCTCCTCTTCCATTTTTTATATGTTAGGTGTTTTATTCTGTGCTTATGTTTCCTTTGACTGGTTTTATGAATAGTTGATGTTATCTTTTGCCTTTAGTTAGTATTTGGTTGATTTTCCTTCTTTGGTGTGATTTTATTTTCTCTAGTGACATCTATTTAGCCTTTGGTGTGCTTTCATCTAGAGCATTTCCTTTGAAATATACTGTAGAGATAGCTTGTGGAAGGCAAATTCACTCAACTTTTGTGTGTCTTGGAATTGTTTAATCCTTCCTTCATATTTAAATGATAATCATGCTGGATACAGTATTCTTGGTTCAAGATCCTTCTGTTTCATTGCATTGAATGTATCATGCCATTCTCTTCTTGTCTGTGAGGTTTCTGTTGAGAAACTGATGATAGCCTGATGGGTTTTCCTTTGTAGGTGACCTTTTTTATCTCTCTGGCTGCCTTTAATACTCTTTCCTTGTCTTTGATCTTTGCCATTTTAATTATTATATGTCTTGTTGTTGTCCTCCTTGGTTCCCTTATGTTGGGAGATCTGTGGGCTTCCATGGTCTGAGAGACTATTTCATCCATCAGTTTGGGGAAGTTTTCAGCAATTATTTCTCCAAATACACTTTCTATCCCTTTTTCTCTCTCTTCTTCTGGTACTCCTATAATGCAAATATTGTTCTGTTTGGATTAGTCACACCATTCTCTTAATATTCTTTCATTCCTGGAGATCCTTTTATCTCTGCCTCACCTTCCCTGTATTCCTGTTCTCTGATTTCTATTCCATTAACAGTCTCTTGCACCTCTTCCAGTCTGCTCTTAAGTCCATCCAGAGATTGTTTTATTTCTGTATTCTCCCTCCTGACTTGATCCTTCAGCTCTTGCATATTTCTCTGCCAGTCCATCAGCATGGTTATGGCCTTTACTTTGAATTCTTTTTCAGGAAGAATATTTATATCTGTCTCCCCTGGTCCTCTCTCAGGGGTTGTCTGGGTAATTCTGGACTGGACAAAATTCTTCTGCCCTTTCATCATGTGCTGGTATACTATATCCTCTGGTCTCTCTTTTAGGATTAGTTGTATTTGTTGTATTTTCAGAAATATATATGGTTTTGGGAGGAGATTTCCACTGCCCTACTCATGCCACCATTTTGGCTTCTGTCCCACATTGGGGAGATTTTAACTTTGAAGTTGCAATATAATGAGTCATAAGAAATACGTATTTGGACACTCATATGACCAAGTACATTTTTTCCAGATACATTTGTTCTTCATCCACAGTTCCTGAAAACACTGCAGTTTTAAAAGTGAAATGGGTGTTTTGTCATGTTCATGAGAGACTTTTTTGGACTCCCACCAAAGGTTGGGGGCTGAAGGCTGAATCAGCCAATGTCCAGTAATTTCGTTGGTCATGACTGCAATGAAGCCCTAACAAAAAGCCCTGAGAAGAGCTTCTCATGCACTGCTCTACTCCGTTGAATCTTGCTTCTCTGTCAGGGAGAGCATCTATGCTTGGGGAGCCAGAAAGTTTCCATGTGCCACTGAGCCACGCCCCAAGCTCCACAAAGATAGGAGCTCTTTTATTTGGGACCTTACTCTATGTATCTCTTCATCTCGCTGTTAACTTGTATCCTCAGTGGTATCCTTTAGTGAACTGGTAAATACAAGTGTTTTCCTGAGATCTGTGAGCCGCTCTAGCAAATTAATTGAGCCTAAAGGGGAGGTCATAGGAACCTCCAATCTGTAGCTGGTCAGAAGTACAAGTACCTGCCTGGGGCTTGCTACTGGCTTCTGGAATGTGTGGTGGGGGGCAGTCTTGTAGGACAGGGCCCTTAACCTGGCGAATCTGGTGCTGTCTCTGGGCAGATAGCATCAGAATAGAGCTGAGTTCTTGGAATCCCTGCTGGTGTTCAAGAACTGCTTTGTGTTGTGTGTGTGGAACAATCCCCTCCCCCTCCCCACACATTGGAATTGGGTCTGGGAATCCAAAAAGAAATTACAATACTGTTATACTGCTGTATAATATTACTGCTGTGTATAATACTATAATTGTTGTATATGTATGAAAAAACCCAAACTCAAGTTAATTTCTCTTTGACTTGAGTAAATCAAGACTCTTGTGAAAGAAACAGCTTTTATAAGTACTTTTATAAAACCACTAAATGCAAAGTTAGAAGACTTGTGATCTAATTCCTATTTGGTATGCATTATTTGTATGATAGACTCATCTGCAAAATGTGAATACTGGCCTACATATTCTCTAAATCCATTCCAATTTAATATTATGGAGGAGGAAACCTTGGGTATGATTATCACAGAGAGATATCTCTGCCAGTGGTAGAATCTTGTTCACATTTTTACTATATTTCTTTATCTCTTCATCCACTTGCCTAAATCATAAGGTATATATATATATATATATTTCTACGATAGGAAAACATTTTCTTTATTGCTTTTCCTTTGTGAAGATACTTCACAATTTCTCTGTTATCATTAGTTTCCATTGGAAACATCTTCTAGTATCTTTGTAAGAACTATCTGTGATCAGCAATTCCTATTCCCTGATCTTGGTTTGACTTGGTTAATAGCCACTTGGATTGATATTTTGATAATAATTATGGTGTTACTCACAAGTGAGCTAACCATTTTTACATTCTGAAGGTGACTATGTGGTACAATGATTATGTTGGAGAAAAATACAAGATTTCATTGAATTATTTCTTGTTTGAAATACTAATTACTTTTGCATAGTGTAGAAGTAATATTTGGTCATGTAGTTTTACAGTGAATGATAGAGAAAAAAGGTGTAATTCTGACCATCTGGAAGTATGTCTTTTATGGTCTATGAGAAATAAGCATAGAAGAGACAGAATATGATATATGACCAATTGTTTATTTTTAAGTTTCATGCACTTTGCAGTTTTTGAATTCTGTATTCCCAAGGTGATTTCAATAAATGCAGAATAATACAGAATAAAGCAATAATTCCAATTAAAGTGTAATAGAGGCAAATGTCCTGAGCGCTTATATAAATACAGCAGTTTTGGCCTCCAGAACAATGACTTTGTATTTTTGGTGACTGAGATGTTTTTGGGAAAGATTAAAGTATCAGTTGGAGAGGTTCTAAAATTTAATCTCTTAAAAGAAAAATCCTTACTTGAATCCCTATCTCCCGAAATACTCATAATTTTCTATGATGTTGATTTCTTCCATTCACCTTTTCTTAACTATAAATTTAAAAGCATCCTAGAGAATAGAAAGAAACTATCACCAAAGTAAACAAATAGTATAACTTACTTTTTTTTAAAGTGAAAAAATAACTTCCTGAAAGCATAATGAGAAGTTACTTGATTCAGAGTTGTGTCTTGGCTATTCTCCTATTCTTGGGAAAATTACTTCTCTATTGGTTTCTCACTCATAATAATAGTATCTTAGAGACTGACCAAACCCCAGCTGTTTTGAAATATCAGTTGAATGACGATATAATCCTGAGCATACATTACTGCTTCTTATATTGGAACTCATAAATTCTTCTCCATATTCACATTTGTCCATGCATCCCACAGGCCTGGCATCATGACTGACTCTTTCATATTGAGACTCTCCAAAGCCAGACTGTCCATAGTCATAATTGGCATTTCCATAGCTGCCATATTGCCAGCCATGGCCTGAACTGTGCACTTGCCTTTCATTAACCATAGACTGAAAATTATTACTTGCAGATTGATGATGACTGCCAAATGATGGCATTCTTGAATTATAACCTGACTCCTGAGAAGGAGTATCAGAATGACCATGGACTGACCCTTCCCACACTATTGACGTGACACTAGATGTCCCATAAGGGGATAAGGTGTATGCATGCTCAAACAGAGAATGTGGGCTGCAGTCACCTAATTGACACTGTGGAGATTCTTACTTTTGCATTCTAATAGAACGTGACTGTTCCAGGAATGAGTCACGCTGTCCATGAGTGGATATCCACTTAGGATGAAAATAAGAGTTACCAGGATTAGATGAGGAATACTGAGGAAAAACGGGATTTGGGTTTCTTAAAATGGAATCTAAATGGACTGAAAATGACTAATTGAGAATCCTGAAACAAGTTCACTAACACTGGCATAAGTACTACTGCCACCGTAGCTTCTGCTGTAACTGGATGCAGATGATGCTTGTCCACGTCCAGTCCCTGAGTGTCTGGCGGTATCTTCTGATGGGCCATGCTCGTGGTCTTGCCATTCCCTACTAGTAGAAGATACCCGTCCATGGGCAGAGTCAGACTGCCTGTGGGTGGCTGGCTGTCTGTGATGGGACCCTGCGTGCCTAGAGCTGTCTCCTGACTGTGCCTGGCTGGATCTGTGCCCGCTTGCACTGCGGGATCCTGACTGACCACGTGCAAAATTGGACTGTCCCTGGAAGGCACTTTGGTGGTGATGCGACCCAGCGTGCCCAGAGCTGTCTCTCGCGTCCCCGTGGCGGGATCCTTCTCTCTCTCCAGCGCTGTGTCTGGGCTGTCTGTGGGAAGCCTCCGAGTCTTCCCCACTGGATGCCTCACCCTCATGGGAGCCATCATGTCTAGAGCTGTCCCTTGCCTGGTCATGGCGGGATCCTCCATTGCTGTGCCTGGGCCATCTGTGGGAAGCCTCAGAGTCTTCCCCATTGGACGCCTGACCCTCATGGGAGCCGTCATATCTAGAGCTCACTCTCCCCTGTTCCTGCCAGGATCCTGGTCGTACTCTGGTAGTGGATTGGGATTGTGTGTGGTCTGAATCCGACTGTTCATGGGAGGATAGCTGGTACACTTGAGACTCTGAGTTCACAGTCCTACCCCCTGACTGGACACGTGCAGACTCACGTTGGTTTGCTGTGCTGGACTCAGACTGTCTATACCCTGAGGCTGACTGATTGTCTGAAAATTCTGAGACTCCTTCACTATCACTGGCCTGGTTCCTAGTGGCTCCCTGGCTTCTGCTGTAAGTAGATCCAGATGAGTCTTGTCCACGTCCAGTCCGTGAGTGTCTGGCGGTATCTCCTGACTGGTCACGGTGGTGGCCTTGTCTTTCCCTAGGGTTGGATACTGCCCATCCATTGGCAGAGTCAGACTGCCTTTGGTTGGCTGTCTGTCCATGATACGACGCTGTATGCCCAGAGGTGTCTCCTGATTGTTCCTGGCCCGATCTGTGCCCACTTGCACTGTGAGAATGTGACTGACCACGAGCAGAATCAGACCGTCCCTGGGGGGCACTTTGCTGGTGTTGTGACCCTGCATGGCTTGAGCTGTCTCTCGCCTGCTCATGGTGGGATCCTTGTCTCGGTCCAGTGCTGAGTCCATGCCGTCCTTGGGAAGACTCAGAGACTTCCCCACTGGCAGCCTGACCCTCATGGGAGCCGACATGTCTATAGCTGTCTCTTGCCTCCTCGTGGCGGGATCCTGGTCTCCCTCCAGGTCTGGATTCTGCACGTCCGCGGGCAAGGTCAGACTCCCTCTGGGTGGCTGTCGTTCTGTGATGGGACACTGAGTTCCTAGAGCTGTCTGCTGACTGGACATGTGGGGACCCACGTTGTGTCCTGGAACCAGACGCTGGTGTTCCACGGGTGACCGCGGATTGTGTACCTGCAGCTTCTGATTGTCGTTCACTGTCATTGGCCTGACTCTCACTGTATCCCCGGTGTCTCCTTGTCCCAGATCCAGAGGAAGATTGCCCATGTCCAGCACCTGAGAGTCTGGAGCTCTCTGCTGACTGCTCATGCTGGGTTTCTTGTCTTCCCCTTGTGCTCCATCTGGACTGCCTGTCGGCTGAGTCACTGTTTGGTGGAAAGGATGTCTCTCCGTGATGAGAAAGCAATTTTCTATGGCTCTCCTCAGACTGTCCATGAACAGATGCTTGTCTTCTATTGGCACCAGAGTCTGACTGTACATGGACAGTTGCAGAGCGCCCACGAATATCTGTGTGCTGTCGACGAGAGCCAGTGTGTCCATACCTGTCTTCTGACTCTTCGCGGCCGGATACACGGTGGCTTCGTGCGCCAGAACCGTCTTGTCTCTCTGACTCTTCCAACTGTCCTTCGGTATCACTGTGCTGACTAAGACTGGACCCACGGTTTCTAGTTGTCCTGGATCCAGATGATCTGAGTCCATTCCCAGACCCTGAGTTTCTAGGGCTATCTACCTGAGAGGATGTTTGGTGGTGACGGGACCCTGCGTGCCTAGAGCTGTCTCCTGATTGTGCCTGGCCGGATCTGTGCCTGCTTGCACTGCGGGATCGTGACTGACCACGTGCAAAATCGGACTGTCCCTGGAAGGCACTTTGGTGGTGACGCGACCCAGCGTGCCCAGAGCTGTCTCTCGCGTCCCCGTGGCGGGGTCCTTCTCTCTCTCCAGTGCTGTGTCTGGGCTGTCTGTGGGAAGCCTCCGAGTCTTCCCCACTGGATGCCTCACCCTCATGGGAGCCATCATGTCTAGAGCTGTCCCTTGCCTGGTCATGGCGGGATCCTCGTCTCCCTGCATTGCTGTGCCTGGGCCGTTCATGGGAAGCCTCAGAGTCTTCCCCATTGGACGCCTGACCCTCATGGGAGCCGTCATATCTAGAGCTGACTCTCCCCTGTTCCTGCCGGGATCCTGGTCTTACTCTGGTAGTGGATTGGGAGTGTGTGTGGTCTGAATCCGACTGTTCATGGGAGGATAGCTGGTACACTTGAGACTCTGAGTTCACAGTCCTACCCCCTGACTGGACACGTGCAGACTCACGTTGGTTTGCTGTGCTGGACTCAGACTGTCTATACCCTGAGGCTGACTGATTGTCTGAAAATTCTGAGACTCCTTCACTATCACTGGCCCGGTTCCTAGTGGCTCCCTGGCTTCTGCTGTAAGTGGATCCAGATGAATCTTGTCCACGTCCAGTCCATGAGTGTCTGGTGGTATCTCCTGACTGTTCACGGTGGTGGCCTTGTCTTTCCCTAGGGTTGGATACTGCCCATCCATTGGCAGAGTCAGACGGCCTTTGGTTGGCTGTCTGTACATGATGTGACTCTGTGTGCCCAGAGGTGTCTCCTGATTGTTCCTGGCCCGATCTGTGCCCACCTGCACTGTGAGAATGTGACTGTCCACGGGCAGAATCGGACCATCCCTGGGGGGCACTTTGGTGGTGTTGTGACCCTGCATGGCTTGAGCTGTCTCTTGCCTGCTCATGGTGGGATCCTTGTCTCGGTCCAGTGCTGAGTCCGTGCCATCCTTGGGAAGACTCAGAGACTTCTCCACTGGCAGCCTGACCCTCATGGGAGCCGTCATGTCTAGAGCTGTCTCTTGCCTCCTCGTGGCGGTATCCTGGTCTCCCTCCAGGTCTGGATTCTGCACGTCCATGGGCAATGTGAGGCTCCCTCTGGGTGGCTGTCGTTCTGTGATGTGACCCTGAGTTCCTGGAGCTGTTTGCTGAGTGGGCATGTGGGGACCCACGTTGTGTCCTGGAACCAGACGCAGATGTCCCATGGGGTTGCGTACTTGTCACTTCTGTTTGTCGTTCACTGTCATTGGCCTGACTGTCACTGTATCCCTGTTGTCTCCTCGTCCTGGATCCAGAGGATGATTGTCCATGTCCAGTGCCTGAGAATCTGGAGCTCTCTGCTGACTGCTCATACCTGGTTTCTTGTCTTCCTCTTGTGCTTGGTCTGTACTGCCCATGTGCTGCGTCATTCTGTCGTGTAGAGAATGTCTCTTCCCGATTAGTACCCGATTGTCTATATCTCTCTTCAGACTCTCCATGAGTTAATCCTTGTCTTCTATAGACAGCAGAGTCTGACTCTCCATGAGCAGTTGCACGGTGCCCATGAGTATCTGTCTGCTCTTGATGAGACCCAGTGTGTCTGGAGCTGTGTTGTGACTGATCCTGTCCATATCCACTGTGTGTTTGTTTCCCATACCCATCTTGTCTCTCTGTCTCTTCCAATTGTCCTTCACTGTCTCTGTACTGATTCAGCCTGGGCCCTTGTTTTCTGGTTTTTCTGGATTCAGATGTTGCATTTTCATTTGAGCTTTCGGAAACTTTCGTTTGGTGATATGAATTTCCTTGTCTTTTCTCATTTTGTTCTGATAACATACCTGATTTTTCTAATTTTTCTTTTACCTGCATTTGATAATCTGTAGCACTAAGCAATGTTTCCTGGCTAGTGTTATATGAATCGTCATTTTCTGTTTTTTTCCTTTTTTCACTCACTTGTTTTGTGTGTTCATAACAATATACATCTTCTGTACATCTATTGTCTGTTGCATGTCTTGTTACACTTGGCTTGTACCTTCTTTCTTGTACTTCATTGAAACTTGAAACTTCGTTTTTTTTCCTTCGTGAGTCATGTTTTTTCTCAGACTCATTTTTGTGTCCAGTAATGGATATTTCTTCTTTTTTCTCCTGAGTCCTAGAAGTAGAACGTTTTTTGCCTTTTCGTTTTGGGCTCGTGAATCTTGGTTTATTCCCCTTTCTATCAGTTCTTGAATGAGTGTGTTTTCTTGTTCTTGTCTCCTCATCTTCATCTGTTTCTTCCTCTATATCATCTTCTTCATCTTGGTTATTGTATTCATACTTTTTCTGCTTTTGTCTTGGTGTTTGGAAATACTGCCTTTCGTTAGAATGATAGTATGCTTGAGCTAACTTGAATACCATGAGAAAGAACTCTGTGAAGTCTATTTCCTTGTTGTGGTCTATGTCAAGGATATGCATCAGAATATCAGCTGTGTCTGGGTCATCCGGATTCTGTAACATTAGAAGGCAGAGTGCAGAGAGTATTTATAAGAATGACTCACATGTTCTGGTAAATTATTTTAAGGCAATTTTGGAAATGTGAGTCTTTGAGTATAATTTGGAAGCAAAGTGTTTTTTTCCCCTTAATAATGTTTACCTTATTTTGACTTTGCAGGAAAGTATAGGTAGTGTACTAAAAGAAATAAATCTTGAACACTGGTATGGTGACACAAGATTTAATAGACAACTGCTTCTTTTTCCTACTCGAAATATCAATATTTTGTAAAATCCATTGATTGAATTGTCTTTTAAATACACCCTTTTAACATTCTTGATGTTAGGAAAAATATTATGATGAACTATTTCGTGTTTGTTTTTTGTCAGTGTAAATAAATATCATTTTTCATTCACAGTGTGTGTGTGTGTGTGTGTGTGTGTGTGTGTGTGTGTGTGTGTTTGTGTTGTGGGCATACATGTGTTTTTACTGTGGTTATAAAAGGGAGGTAAAAAAAAAGTATATGTTTTGAAGTAATCAAGTGTGTTCCTATTCCAGAATAAATCCCCCCAGTTATACAATTATCCTTTGTCCAATGATTGATGCAGAACAGAGATTTCATGCCCTTTAGATGTAGCAAGTATCTTTTACCTTCAGGATTGTCTGAAACTCTTTTTCCAGAAGTTCCTTCAGCTCTTTTTTGCTTAGCGAGTCCGTCTCATTATCTGTTTTTGAGTATTGGTGGAATAAGTCAATGATGGCAATGATGTTTTCCAAGAGAGTGGACATCTTCTGGGAATGTAAGTGAACCTAGAAAGAATAAATAGAAATTTACTTTCTTGTGTTTATTTTCTTTATTCTGGGTCATATAAATTATTATAGTGAATTTTCACATGTTTAAATCTTCATGTTCCCCTTTTTAGCTCATCTTTAAAAATGGAATAGTCATTAAAAACTTCTATCTCCCATCTCTGTAGTAAAAATCAATGCAGATTTTGACTAAATATTAAAACTGCCAATTTCTTTGCATTGAATCCATCCACAGTAAGATTTAGATAGTTTCATAGATCTCATTATGTTCTAGAAAAGACCATCCTGTTTGCTGATCTGGCCACTGCACATAGTAAGATTTTAAAAGACCTGCTTCTTAGAAGCAGGAGGTTTTTCTAATACCAACTTACTAAAAATCAGTTCTCCAAAAACTAATTTGCTAACTGATCAGTGTGGCTGAATGTAAAAGGATTAAAAAAGATACACCGTTCAAACACTGGAAGAAAGCTGTTGATATATTAATATTTATAGAGTAAACTTTAAGGCAAAAATCATTAGTATAAGTATATTCTACAACAATAAAAGTCAATTCACCAGAAAGAAATAAAAAATGTAAATTAATATGTACCTTATAACAACCTCAAAAAACATAAAAGAAAAAGTGACAGTTATATGGGGAAATGGGACAAATCTATAATCATAGTGGGTAGTACACCTCTCCTAACAACTGATAGACAAGTGGACACAAAATTTTAAGGATATGTAAGACTTCCACAAAACTATGAATAAAAATATTAACCAATATATATTGAACATTGCACCTAACAACTCTGGAATACATGTCCTTTTGAAATGAACATGAAACATTAAAAATTTTACTATATGATGGGTCATAAAATAGGTTTCAACAAATTTTAAAGTATTAAAGTCATGCAGAATTTATTTTCCACCACAGTGGAATGAACCTATAATTCAGTAATAGAAAGATAACTAGAAAAATCTCCAAAGGTATGGAAATTAAGCTATAAGTTTTAAATAACAAATGGGTAATGGAATAAATTATAATGAAAATTAGATAATAATTTGAATTAAAATAAAAATAAGAAATAGCAAATGTGGGATACATTAATTCCATGCCTAAAGAGAAATGTATAGTTTAAGTGCCTGTATTAAAAGCATATATTACGCAGGGGGGTCATCAGGTGAGAAATTGGGGATCAACAGAGGTGAGGCTTAGAACCTCACCCCTCCTGTTTTGAGAGAACTCTTCTGCATCCGTGGATGTTTTATTGCCCTTGTCTAGCTTGGATTAACACATAGTCTACAGGCACACACCTGATCATCTACATTTGCTCTCTTACAACACTAAACTATGTTTTCTACCTTTATCTTGCATCTACCTACCACTTCAACATTTATTAAAAATAACAATAATAATAATAATAATAACAACAACAATAATAATAAAGGGAGAAATGTGGGATCCACTTATAAATCAAGTATAAAAATCAAACGAATATTCATATTTGACCTGATTGTTTATCGTTCATAATGTGTGATCAAAACCAAAAGTTTCTGTGATGACTGCCCTTGTACTGTTCACAATGTAAGAACTTATTCACTATGTAAGAATTTGTTCACCATGTAAGAACTTGTTCGTTGTGCTTCAGAAGATCCGAGACTGTTGAGAATTAGGCTTGGGGTGGATTAATGATTGTGCATTGCCCTATACAGAATTTTATTGTTGTTAACAACCATTTGATCAATAAATATGAGAGATGCCCTCTCAAAAAAAAAAAGCATATATTAAAAAGGCTGTATAACCTAAGCATACATCTCAAAAAGTTTGAAAAAGACCAAATTAGGCCCAAAGAAAGCATAATAAAGGAAATAATAAAGGTAAGACCTGATATTAATGAAATAGAAAACAAATTGAAAGAATTAAGAAACCCAAAATTTTCAAAAAATTTAATAAAATTTATTGACCTTAAAAGATTAATCAAGGAAAGAAGAGCAAAGGCTTACAAGATTAATCAAGGAAAGAAGAGCAAAGGCATAAGTAAGCAATAACTGGAAAGTAAAAGGTGATATTGCAATAAATTTTGCAGTCATTCAAAAGATAAGAGCACATTCTGGAAACCTATATAATCAATTTGAAAATTTAAATGAAATGGAAACATTTCTAGAAAAATGCATCTTACCAAAACTGAATCAACAAGAAATAGAAAACCTAAATAGGCCTATATTTGTTAGAGAAATGAAATCTTAAATGAATACATTTCCAATATATGTGTGGTGGGAGACTGTAGGTCAGATGGCTTTTCTCCTGAATTTATTTAATGTGCAAGAGAGAACACTAACATCGTACAGCTTGTTCCAGAGAGATGAGAAAAATTCACCATGTTATGAATCCAGCATAACCTCAATACTGAGAACCTGACAAGGATATTATAAGAAACAAAATTTTCAGGACAATTTCTTTCATAAGTATGGATATAAAAACTCTGAGAGAAAATAATAGTAAATTAAATCCATTGTCATATGAAAAGAGTATATGTCACACCCAAGTAAATATTATTCCAAAATTCATTTGTTTCATCATTTGAGAACTGATCAATTAGCTACTCTAATACAATAATGGGGAAGAATTGTATGAACATCTTAATGGATGCAAAAACCCCATTTGATAAAATGCAACATTAATTTTGATTTATAAATAAAATATTAATTAAGTCTATGAAGATGTTATAGAACTGGAAATTTTCATCATACGTGAAATTCAGCTTTCATCTCTGAGTGTGGGAATGAGACTAATGCACCAGTTATCCTATTCAGCATTGTATTGAAGGTCATAACCAGAGCAACAAGTGAAGAAAAAGAATTAGAAACAGAGTAATTGTAAGGTAAGTAACAAAACTCTCATTACTTACAGAATGATATGGCTTTTGCATGTGGAAAATCCAAAAGCAATGTACAGCTAAACTATTAGAACAAATAAAATTAGCAATATTGTTGGGATAAGATAGATACACAAAATCAATTGTATTTCTATACAAAAGCAATAATTAGAAAATGAAATAAAAATTGATGTTATTTACAAAAATATGAAAAAATGAAAAAATTTCTACGACTAAATCTAATGAAAAACATGAAAGATCTGTACCAGAAAATTATGTTACTGAGATTAAAGAAGATTTAGATAAATAGAAGATTATGCATTGCTCCTGAGTTGAAAATCTCAACATTGTTAAGATGTCAAATCTCCCCAAGTTCATTTATTCATGCAATAAAATCCTATTCAGGATCCCTGTTATTTTTAAAAATAAAGACTGATATGGTGATTTCTAAGATTTATATGAAATTATAAGGGCTAAGAGTTAGCCAAGACAACAATCTTAATGAAGACAAAGTTTGAGGAGGTATCAGATGTCAAAGTATATTATAAAGGAAGACAGCATGGTATTAGTGCAAGGTCAAGCAAATGGATCAGTGAAAAAATAAATTAGTTCCCAGGTGGATTTTACATATAAAAGATAAAAGATGATAACATATGAGAATATCTTCAAGACCGTCGGGTAGAGAAGTACTTCTCAAATAGAACTCAAAAAGTATTAATCATAAAGAAAAGGATCAATAAAATGGACTTCATTAAAAGTAGGAATGTCTATTCATTCAAAGATGCTATTAAAGGAGAGAAGGGAAAGCCACAGAGTGGGCTAGCTAATAAAGAGCTCTATCCTAAATATAAAAATAATTCCTATATATCAATACAAAAAATACAGACAACCCAATAGAAACATGGGTAGAGATCATAAGACCTTAACAAAAAAGGATATCCAAATAACTAATAAACATGCCAAAAATTCTCAACCTTATTAATCATCAGGGAAATGCAAATTAAAATTACAGTGTGTGACCACAGTATACCCACCAAAATGACTAAAAAAACAGAAGAAAAAAGAAACTTTACAGTCTCAAATATTCATGGGAAGAAACTGGATTTTTCATATACTGTTAGAGGAGCATACACTGGCAGAAGTACTTTGGAAAATTATTTGCCAGTATCTAAGACTCAGTAATTAATTCATGGAACATTCCCAATTGAATTATAAACACATGTGTAACCAAGAACCGTGTACAAAAATGTTCATAGCCCCCTTATTTGTAATACCCCCCCAAATAGAAACAACGCAAGTATCTATCAATAGAAAAATGAATAAGTAAGTTGGAGTGTTTTCATATATTATAGTCAGAGCTGGGAGTGATAAATAGCCTGAACAAGGGTGGTAGTGATGGAGAGGGTGACAGATGGATTTGGCATGTCTTGTAGGTAGAGTTAACTGGACCTGGTAATGAATCAATGTGATAGAAGGGAAAGACAGGAATCAAGGATAACTTCTAGAATTTGGCTGGAGCAAAGAGTTAGTTCTGTATGCCTATCATCTCTCACCTAAACTGCAGTCCATGTCCTTGTTCCCACTATTGCTCTCCTATTATACTGTTTTCCACATAACAGCAGCCCCTAACAATCTTTTAAAAACATATATTTAGGTTATCTTACTCTTCCTGCTTAATATTCTCCCATGACTTCTCATGTTCTTAAAATAATGTACAAACTCTACTATGCCCCTCTTTATATGGTTTACCCCATCTAGGTCTCTGATATCACATATACCATTGTTCCTCTGGTGAAATATGCTGTAGGCACATTAGCTTATTTTTGTTCTTTGTAATAAATGTACTCCTGCTTTAGAATCTTGCCCCTTAACTTGACTGGTTTCTTTTGTCTTTAAGATCTCAGCTCAAAAGATAATTCCCTAGAAAGATCTTTCCTGGCCATCCAATCTAAAGTACTCTCCCATTACTTAACTACATTTCTCTTATTTTCTTTATTGTTCTTACCACTATTTGAAACTCTTATTCATTTATTGTTTACTGAATGTCTCCTCATACTAAGAGTAGGAAGTTTCACTGCTAAGTAATCAGTCAAGAGCAGCCCTTGGCAAATAGAAGGTAGTTAATGTATATTTGTTGACTGAATGAATGAAAAGGAAACCCAGCTATATTAAGAAAATACTGAGTAGCCTTATAGAAAGCACATTATGTCCTATTTTCCTTCTATTTGAAATAAACTTTTAGTAACGGTGCCACAAAAATAAAGAATCCCAAACATTCAGACATTTTGCCTTTCCACCCTGCTCAACACCAAGTAGGTAAAGTTAGATGTATTCCCTCTTACTTACTTCCTTGACCAGAGGAGCAAGTAGAATGTAGTCTGAAGGAGCTTGCTGGGTGCTGAAGCCTTGGATAATGGCCTTTTTATAGGAGGTCCATCCAGGGAGGAGCCCTCTTCTGGAGGATGGTCTGATTCATTCCTAACCAGATCCACCTGTGTCTCCACCTCTATTTCTCTAGCAGCGTGTTTACTTCCCAGTTTCCTCACGTACTCATCTCTACTTGTTTTACCAAGTTGCAAATTTAGGTTTTTGCATAAACCCCACAGGTCAGAGGTTTTACAGCTATCACGGGTTTTTTGTGTGCAGGCCCACACCTTCTACTGCCTTTGCTGTGCCCCCACTTTGATTTGATAGGTTCTTGATGAATATCTATTGGTAAGTACACCTCCTTGTCCTTTCTTTAGAGGGGTAGAATATACATTTATGAGAAATTCAAATTCAGTTTATGGTAGGAAACATCACAAGCACCACATACCTTTTCATGTATGAATTCCATCTTTGGATACTGAGAACTTGACAGTTGATCTTCTGGAAATTATGATAAATGGAGAGAAGATAGACAAACTTAATTTTGATGTTCCAAAGACAGCAGCAAGTAAGTGAGTTCTGAGTTAAAAGCAGTGAGTTTTTAGTAACAGTGCCAATAAAAATTAGAACTCCCAATCATCCAGAACATTTTGCCTTGGAGTGCACATATATCCAGATTTCCACCCTGCTTAACACCATTTTGAGTTTATTAGGAGCTTGCATGAGTTTATGAGACCAGAATCATTAGCCTAATTTTACCCTGTTTTCAAGGTTATTACATGGGGGTATCAGAAACATGTTCCACTTAATGCTTCCTGTGGGTTAACTGTGTGCTTTCTCATTTATTCTTATAAATATACAGAAGACTCCTATCCTTGGCCTCTCTCTTGACTTCCAGACTGTATGTCAACAGACTGTATCTCCATTTGGATATCCCCTAGTTTCCTCAGTGCATAGTGTTAAAAACTGAATGCATTATCATGCCCTGTATCAAAAAGGACTATACTCCAGAAATCCATATACTGGTTAATGATATCTCCATCCACTGAGTGTCCCAAGCTACAAAAAAAAGTCATTTTTCATTTCTCCCTTATGCTCATGTTACATTATGTCAGTTCTGTGTAGACTTATAGTCTTTATATGCAGGCCTGTTCTCTATCTCTAGTGTTGCAATTTTAGCTCTGGATCTCATCATCTTTCAATTGGGTATTTGTAAAGAAGTATCATAACTAGCCCCTCTACTGTTAGGCTGCCTAATTCATCTTCTAAACTTATTATGTCATTCCCTCCACTGGGTGTTGTTTGTCTATAAGATTCCAAATTCCTTTACTTGACATATAAGCCTCTTCACAATAGGCATGAATTTGTATCTTTCCAGCTCAGTCTCTTACCACCTGTATTCCATGGGGAAGTTACTCCAGACTCAACATTCCTTGGATGATCCTTCAGTGGCCCACTACTGTTGCATGCTGTCCTTAACTACCTTAGCTTCTCAACATCCTTCAAGAACCTCCAGAATCATCACCTCCTTTGCAAAGCCTTGCCTGACATTTCCAGATAGATTGCTGTTCCCTCACATACTCTTTATTTATGGTGACATTTAATTTTAATAATTTGTTTATGGGTCTGCACTCCCTACCTCAGTTTTGTTTTCCTTCTCACCCTGGCATTGACTGGTCTGACTTATCTTTTGTGTCCTTGGGCCCTAGAATAGTTCCTGGTACATGATCAAAGAAGAAAGGCAAGGGGGTGGCCACTTTTGTGTCAATTAACTAGAACAAAAAATGTTTTGTGTTAATGAGATGGAAATATGCCTGAGTTTTAAAAACTTTGATTAATACCTTCATTTTACCCCATTAGACCATCAGTTATTTCTTCTTGTGAAACATTAGTTGATGTTCACAGAACACAGGTTTTCATTTTTTCCTCTTTTCTTCTTGCATTTGTCTTTTTGTGATGGTCGTTTTTCTGCTTTTGTCTTTATCTCACCATGGTATAATAATAATAATAATAATCTGTATTGCATGCTCATTATGTGCCAAGAATGTGCTAAGATTTTGCAAGTATTAGTTCTGTTCTTCATAATAACCCTATGAGGTCATTATTATTGTCACTATTTTTGAGATGAGGGAACTGATAGTGTAGGATGCCCAAGGTTACCCAGCAAGTAATTTACAGAAGTAGGATTCAATTCCAGGTCATTCTGACTCCCAACTCCCATATTATTTTCACTCTACCACATTGCTCTGGGTGTGAACTTTTCTCCTTTTTTATTAGCTTTATTTTTATTTTTAGTGTTTTAAACAGTAGTTTCTCTCAGGATGCCCTAAGTCCTTGTGAACTTAGTTATGGAAATTATTGCAGGGGCAGCAGAAAGACTAGAGTGTGGAGTTTGGCTGAGCTGACAAAGGTGGAGTCCAGAAAGTAGCAAGGTTGGGACCTGACATTTCAATGGCCCAGGGACCCAAATCTTGCATATTCATAGCAGTATGGAGGGTAGTCTCTAGTAATATGCTGCAAGACTGTTTTCTTGACCATGTTATGGTCATTATATTTTTAATCATAACTTGGATGAAAATGTGGCAGATGGCAGACATTTTTAGGATAACATGATGATCCAAGAAGATTTTAGCATGTCACACCAGTAGCTCGAATCTAATAAAAATAAATCTTAATGAAATAAAAGTGAGATTCTAAATTTGGCTCTAGATTAACTTCACAGAGACAGTTTAGAAAACGTGAGTAAAAGAAGGGATATTGTGGCATGGCAGTGTGATTGTAGTAGCCAAAAAGCTAATGGTATTTCAAGGTGCATTTAAAGAAACACATTAACTAGAACAAAAAATGGTGGTGTTCTTCATTTATATTTGTCAGATTGTTTCTATAGCTTTTTGTTCATTTCATGACCACTTGTCAGTGGGGATGTGGACAACTTGTTATGTTTTCTGGGTAAAGTAAATAGGATGACTGGCTAATGGGGGAGGTAAAGGGAACTGAATGAGAAGCAGATGGATGGGAGATGAATATCTGTCTTTAATCGTATGAGTGACTATTATATAAAAGAAGGATTATACTTGGGTTGTATAAAACTGTCAGATAAATGAATAGAAACTGTGAGGAAGCATCTTTGGCTTTGTCTAAGGAAGAGCTTTTTAATAGTCAGAATTGTCCAAGCATGAAAAGAATTATCTTTGCCTATAGTGAGTTCCCTATCACTGCCTAGAGAATTTTGAATTGAGTGAGATGTTGGCCATCAAATTAGTTTAGCCTCCTCATATTGTGGTTGATAACCAGGCAGTCCATTGTTGCATGGCTGACAAATAAGAGTCAGAACCCAAGCCTCCAGCTCAGGACTTTTCACTCTAAATCCTCTTTGCATTGTACCAGGTTACATAAATTACTGGGAGATGAGAATCAGATTGGAATATTTTGGAGAGGTGTTAAGGAAAGGAACATTGCGTTAGATGTCTAATAAATCTCTCATTCAAACTGAGAGCTATGATTCTATGATTCAAGTAACTTTCTTTGCCTGACTTGATTCAGCTCACTCCTGTGGCTGTTTGATCAGTATAGTTTAATAGCTTCAGGGATAACAGGACTATCAATTCTACCTTATAGTGTGAACAGGAAGATAGCACTAGGATTTCCATGCTCCACTTCCTGCCAGCTGATCTCTCTCATATATTAGCTTTTTACTTTTAGAATCTCAAGTAATTTTTTCTCACTAACCCTTTTAAATTATTGACCATGGAATAGTGAACTCTGAGATATAGGGCATCTTCTCTATCCTCAGAGGGAACTTACTCTTCATTTTGTTGTTACTAATGAAATAGTGTCAGAGGGATTTTAGGTGTCCACAGTTACATATTGTAGCTATCAGGATTTGTTAAGGGATGAAGAAAACTCCCCCAAAGTTAGGAGTTATTGACAAATCACAAATTACAGGATTTTAATTACAATCATTCAATCAGTAGTCCCTCCCTTTTCCTATCCAGTGGCATTATGTTGCCATATGGCCTCTGGCCTGCTGATGTGGGTCAGGTTGTCACCCACATCATCTTAAAGGGAACAGCCCTTTAAGATGGGTGACTGAGACTGTAGGAGTGAAGGGGAGTTGGAATTTGTGGTTAAACAATTTCCTATAGGACCTGTAGTCATCTCCTGGGAGGTGCTGTTTTGGGTTCAAATTTTTCCAGGTTGAATATCCCCTTGGATTCCTTGGCATGATTGTGCTGATGCTCCTGCTTAGCCATTCAGTGGTTGAGCAGTATTTGGCAAGTATCTGATCTCTACTTGAAGCTTGTATTTTCCAGGACAATGATGAAGGAAATTAATGCTGATCCCAAGGAAAAATTTTAAGTTGCTTCTTTCTTTAGCTTATTCTGTGTGTGTGTGTGTGTGTGTGTGTGTGTGTGTGTGTGTGTGTGTGTGTATTATAAATCTAGCTACTGCAGGTACAGAAGTCACACACACACACACAGACAAAATGAGAATATGTGTGAGAAACAGTGATCAAAGACAAGTCTTTTGAATAGTGGGGAAATATTATCCAAGAAGTGCTTATATCAATCAAATGTTATTTTTCTAAAAATCATGTTGGTTTATTAAAACCCCTCAAGTATAGCTGCAGAGATGGTCAGAGGCATTCTGGGGCATTAAGGGAGTTGCATTTATCAGTAGCTGTATTATGTGAACATTTTCTCTAACAATTAGAACAGCAAAAATAATCCAATAATAGAAAAGTAACCAATCATCCTATGTCATTAAGGAGAAAGCTTTCATGATTTAACTCTTGAGTGGTTATGAACAGAGAGATTATGATATTACAGTGGCCATAGTCACAATGAATAGTATCAGCAGCAAAGAATGGACCAGTCACTATTTCATGTCCCATAGAAACAGTTAAGTTTTGGTGGCAGAATGGTGCAGCATTAGAAAACTAGAAAAAAGGAATCTAAGAACAAGCCAAGACAGAGATAGTATAGCCATTTGACCAGACTTCACCAGTGTCATTTGTTCAGA